GGGCTGGATTGGTGCAGCTGCCTGAAGCCATCCGCTGAGCCGATTTCAGTCACCATGGCAACCGCCAGACTGATAACCTGATAAAAAACGCGTTCTTCACTAGTGCAGTCAGATTCAGGTTGAGAATAGTGGCTTTGCCATTTTAAGCAAGATGCATTTAAACAATCAAATGTAATTTTTCTGTTCGTTTGCAAAGGTTTTTTGTGTAGCCTATTGGGAATTTAAAAAAACAACACCAATATAGCCATTTTATTTTTAAAAAGTAGGTTCGAATTTTACTACAACACTTTAAAAAACATGGTTCGGGGGATGGAAAGGGTGTTTGTGATTATATCTCATCATGTTCTTCCCAGATCTTCTATGAACATACCTAAGATAAGGCTCTTTCTATATCCTTCTGAGTTCTCTATGCTTTAACTAGTTGTCTTCTGTTAAGTAATATAAATTAATTAAAGAAGCACTTTCAGAGCCTATGGGAACACAAAGTTACAATCTGAATAGAGTTGTGAACTTTTGTACCTCTATACTTGTAATTGCTGTGCGGCAAACAGAAATTCAACGGATGAAGCATTACTCTTCTTTTGTGCTTCAGCTGTAAAAGTGTCCAAAGAACCAGAATGAGTTCCATCCTAGGATATTCTGACATGTTTTTACTTGGGGCAAGAGTCATTCCTAAAACCTTTTGTTCATGACATGTCTCAGTACTAGACTATGTGAACTCACAGTAAAGCAAGAGACTGCTTAAAAATGAGTAGAGGCATTTTGTCCACAACTATAGGACCATCTCAAGAGTCCCACATTCCTGGAACTTAAACAGGGCATGGTTTCTCTGGCACTTCTTTTTATAGAATGGGCATACAAGAGAAAAACAGGAAGTTACACACAGACCTTCTCCCAGTGAAACCCAACTTTTCTTTTTTATGTGATATACCTCCTACCAGGGCTTTTTTTGTAGAAAAAGTCCAGCAGGAACTCATTAGCATAATAGGCTACACCCAGAAGCAGGAACTCATTAGCATATTAGGCCACACCCCTGACTGCACCGCTCATTAGCATATTAAGCCGCATTCCCATGTTACCAGAAGTGTGGTCATCCAGCCACACCCACCTTTTGCTTCTTATTCTGTTTACCTTGTTTGTGGTCAAAACCCAGGGCTTTTTTTGTAGCAGGAACTCCTTTGCATGTTAGGCCACACACCCCTGATGTAGCCAATTCCAATGAGTTTCTGCTGTTGGGTGTGGCCTGTTATGCTAATGAGTTCCTGCTGGGTGTGGCCAACTTGGGAGCCAGCTGGAACTCCGTTCCTGTGTGTTCCTGCCCAAAAATAGCCCTGCCTCCTACAGGAAACACAAGAACAGTGAGCTTTGTTTAAAAATTAGATACAATAAGATGGAAGGGATGACAATTTATGTGTTATGTGGGGGAGGGGGCTGCTGTGTTAGATGGGAGCAGGATATCTTTTGCCACACAGATTGTCTCCACCACAGATGGCCAGATTCTGTAATAGTTGATATCACTCAGCTGTTAACAGTATGCCAATTATGGTGCAGATGCACAACTGGGTATTACACCTGGTACTACTAGCCCTGTGTAGGCATATAGAGAAGCTCTGACTTCTCTCCCTAGTGCCAATGCATTCAAACAAACATCAGCAGTGAGCTTCGAACCTTCTGTGCAATGTTCCCAGTTGCATTATTGCATCCAAGTATATGTGTAGGGAGCTGCGGTGGCTCAAGTGGTTAAGACACTGAACTGCAGGCTGTGGAAGGTCGGTAGTTCAGCAGTTCGAGACCCGGGTGCCACAAGATGGAGTGAGCTCCCATCTCTAGTTCTAGCTCCCGCCAACATAGCAGTTCAAAAGCAAGAAATTGCAAGTAGATAAATAGGTACCACTTCAGTGGGAAGGTAACAGCGTTCCGTGCGCCTTGGTGTTTAGTTATGCCGGCCACATGACCACGGAAACGTCTTTGAACAGCGCTGGCTCTTCGGCTTTGAAACGGAGATGAGCACCGCAACCCTAGAGTCGGATTGCACTGGCTTTCGAGCAAAGGAACCTTTACCTTTACCTATATCTGTGTAGAGCTTGCCACACTCAGCCAAACGCACAAATGTTTCTGTTCTTCTTCATGTGTGTACAGTATATACATTTTAAAATGCCTGCATGGTTGTTCTGTAATTTATTCCCCAAACTTTTTTAAAAAATCCAGGGATGGTACTGTAGGGCTGCCAGCCCAATCCTATGCATGTTTACTTATTTTAATAGGATGTACTCAAAAGGAAGGATGCATAGCATTGCAGCTGTAGTTTGTTTGGGATATAAAAACAACAGATATGTGAGGTCTTTGAAATATTTATTTTGTTTACAAACATTCATACAAAGCATATAGGACCTAAATAAGAATGCCTACAACAGTCAGCTGATCTGGTAACCTGAATCAGATCCCAAGGAGCATCCCAACATTTAGCTAACTCTAGTAGAAACTCACTAAAGTTAAAAAAACAAAACTGTACACTTGTTTCTATACTGTTTTCCCTTCTGAAATGAACAAGATTCCATTCCAAGACTGAAAGATATCCCAAGATATCAAGGGATATGAACATTGTTTTGTTAAATCCCTGGCCACTGATTCACAGTGATCAACATAATCAGACTTACAATACAAAACAATGGAATGTGACGTTGACAATGTATTCCTAAAAACACTTTCTTGGGTGTAAGCTCCATTGAATACACCTCAGTAGGACTCTGAGAAAAACTGCTTAGGATTGTTCTCTGAAGGGTGGAATATCTGTAACTAACAACTAGAAACTAAGAGCTATACTACCCCAACCAGAATTTGGCTAGAATCACAGCTGACACGCTGAAAAAACAAGAATGGATAAAAATCAACTTAATTTAAAAAATAATTTTAGAATGTTATTGTGGGGGGGGGGTGGCAATCCTATTTACAGACCAGAGATACCTCTTAATGCAATCAGTATATCTATTTCGGAACTACACCACAGAGGATATGATTAAAAGAGCTAAGACAGATCTGTGTGTATAGAGTCTCTCTCACTTTCTGAATTAAAACTCCCCAAAATAACAGAAACTCCTGTAGCTTTAAGAAAAGAATGCCCACTGAACTTTCAGTGGAACCACAATAATATTTCCAAGCCTTAATTCCTTTAAAGAAAAGTTGTGGAAGGGGGGAGTAGGTATAGAAGGCTGAAACAGCCCCAGAAAAAGAGTTTCAGTAGTTTGTGGATTTGGTACCCAATTTTATGGGGTTCTAGAGGCTTCTACAGAGCTGCTGCGGTGGCTCAAGTGGTTAAGACGCTGAACTGCAGGCTGTGGAAGGTCAGTAGTTCAGCAGTTCGAGACCCGGGTGCCGCATGATGGAGTGAGCTCCCATCTCTAGTTCCAGCTCCTGCCAACATAGCAGTTCGAAAGCAAGAAATTGCAAGTAGATAAATAGGTACCACTTCAGTGGGAAGGTAACAGCATTCCGTGCGCCTTGGTGTTTAGTCATGCCGGCCACATGACCACGGAAACGTCTTCGGATAGCGCTGGCTCTTCGGCTTTGAAACGGAGATGAGCACTGCAAACCTAGAGTCAGATTCGACTGGCTTTCGAGCAAGGGAACCTTTACCTTTAGAGGCTTCTACACAAATTATTAACTTAATCTTTCTATCTACCCAATGGGACTCAGTGCTCAGTCTAGAAGATACTATTAGAGATGCTTAGTTGGGCAGTTGTCAAACTCAGATTTGTGTATTTGGAGATAACATGCTTCTTAACAGCAAAGATATTTAAAAGTAAATCAGATACAGTGGTGAGTAATATATACTGGATATCAGCCCAATTGTCCCTCTGTAAATTTGTGTACACAGCATCAATCCTGTAAAAGAGCTCTAAAAATTAAAGAACTCAAATAAATAAAAGATTGTTGGAGTAGAATAGATCAGGGCAAGAGGAGAAGTCTGGAATTAGATGTGAGAAGGGGGGGATAGGCAGTAGAAATAAAAGTACAATTGTTTGAGCAGCATATTTCAGACATTTTGAGGTGTCTCTAAGTATAGCTTTAATTGATTTGAGATCTGCCACTAGAAGGAAAAACTCATAATGGCAGCAGGCCATAAAAGAGACCTAGTTTGGGAATAGTTTAATGTTCCTCAACCTGTGGTCAGGACAGGCATGCGTGCAAAATGTAAATATAGTGCAACAAAGACATGTAATGATGCCTGAATGAAACTACATAATATGAAGTGCTCCTTCTGAATAAAAAGCTCCACAACTTGAAGATGACGAAACTAACATGTCTGAACCAGTGTTCCCTCTAAGCTGAGTTAGTGTGAGCTAGCTCACAGTTTTTTAGCCTCTGGCTCACACATTTTTGTCTTAGCTCAGGAAGGATGGCTCCAGAGCAAACTAAGTTATGCAGTAGCCAAATCGCTCACTCACAGCTTTAATGCCAGTAGCTCACAAAGTAGAAGTTTTGCTCACAAGACTCCACAGTTTAGAGGGAGCATTGGTCTGAACACGTAGGATCTTCAGGGACATAGGTACACCCTGTCATTTCGTATTTATTTCTTAAGGACTGACTGCTATCCTTCTGGACTATCCTTGAATCCCCAGGTTTATTGTTTCTCTATAGTACTATATTTTTGATGCAGTTGTGAAGGACAAAAGTCTCAAACACACCTTCTTGCAGAAGGTATCTTTTTTTTGGAATATTTTATTTTATTTTCAAAATGAACATACCAGTAAGAGAGTGTGGAATTTTATGCTTTTACCTATAACCTGTACGTTCCCGCAGTTTTCTTCAGTTCTAACAAAAGTTCTTGTTCCTACAGCAAGCATATCTCAATAAAGCGTTTCACTGCCAATAGTGTGTGTGGAGAGTGTTTTAACTGGGGAC